AATCATGCTCTCCCTAAATCACTATATTATATAATGTCACAATCAAAATCAATGAAATTTCAGTCACAAAGAAAATATGTATTTTTCCTTCTATAATCTCTTACTTCTAATGCTGATTAAACTAATGTCCAGATAATGGAAAGATATGCATTAATTTTCATTTGTTGTAGTTAAAAACCAAATCTTTTGTTATATTAATATTTTAAAGTTTAATTAAGCAAAAATATTCTTAAAATATCTGTACAATATTAACTGAGAAAAACAATTAAGTTGGGTTTTAGAACATTGTATGTTCCCAAAATGAAAGCAAATGCTTATTCTGAACTGTAATTTTAAGACTATTTCTATCTTTGACACTTTTATTTTGCCAAATTCACTGGGCAATAAACAACAAATAGATGAACTGTTTTCAGAAGGTAAACATTCGTGATAAAGTAAATAATCTACTCAGAGAAGAAATAGTGTTTTGAGCTGGTTCATGATACCACAAATTTTTAGAAACAGATATTTAAAGGAAGAAACATAAGTAACAATATTTCTACTTTTAATCTATTAAATGGATGGTAGGACAGGAATGCATACAAATTTGTCACTACTCAGATATAGGATACCTCGGGCTGTTAAAGTTGATATACTTGTTTGAAATTCTGTGAATGGCAGCCATTCTACAACTAAATTTTCTTCACTGTAAATTCCTTGTATTCTAATCCATGATACTTTGAAAGACTGTATGCTTTTATGAATAAATCAAATGTGTATACAAGTTTTAAATGATTTTCACTAAAAGATATTTTCACAGCTATTAAAACTTTGCAGTTTAATGTTTTCTTCTAAACTCAAAGTGAGGGCAAAAGGCTTCCTATATGTAGAGTAGAGTGTCTATGTATTTTTATCTTTGTTTTTATTCAGCTAGGGAAAGCCAAAGAAGCTAAATACCATACCTTAATCTTGCAACATTCTTCTCATTATAAATATTTTATTCTGGTTTATGTTTTACTCACTTTTTCCAAGTTATCCAGTCTGAGGCAAGGCATTTTCTTTTTTATTCTTTCCTTTATTTTTCCCAATATACACAGTATCTTTGGTATTTGATGATAGATAGCAAGCCTTTCATTAGAGTTGAAGTAAAAAATGGAAAAAGTATTTTTTCTTTACCGTTTATATGGCACTCCATAAAGACATTTTCTGCATTTAATTGTGTCATAATTTAGTCATGTGAAAGGATTAAAATCCACAGTATACTACTTTTTATTTAAATATCTTAAATCAGTCATTTCACTGTTAGAGAAAATAGACCATTTTAATGTAAATTTCAAAATTGTATGTTTTTCAAATTTTAGGTGCATGAAAGTAGATTAAACCAATTACTGAAATAAGAGTTTCCAGCATAATTTATCTGAAAACTTTGAAAATATATGATTTATTGCAGAGAAAGTTTATTACTCAATCAAAATGAAATAATGTTCCAGAGCTACACAATCTAATACAAAAAGCCATCAGTCACATGTGGGCCTTTAAATTTAAATTAACAACCACTGAATTGTAAGGACCTAGTAGTCACCACATAAATAGTGATTACTATATCAGACAGGGCAAGCACAGAATAATTCTATCCTTATAGAAAGTCAATGCGAAAGTGCTTCCCCAACTCCTATTTTTAAACTTTTTCCCATTGTTTCTCTTCAAGCTCCATCCTACTGGTTTTCACACAGAATCTTCTTCTCTGTCTGTATCACTTGTTCGGAGAATAATTTTGTCCTATGTATTTGTAATGTTTGGAGACACCATAGCTGTCATAATCTGGGGATGTGATGCTGTTATCAGGCAGTGGTGGAGGTCAAAGAACTTCTAGAAGTCCTAAAATGCATAGGAGTCTCCCCACGAAAAAATCCCAAAGAGTTGTGAGTCAATAGTGCCAAACTTGAGAGATTGAGAAACGCTGGCCTAAACTTCTCTAGCCTGAGGCCACATTTGGGATGTCACCCAAAATTAGATTTGTCCTGTTATAAGTACTTGCCTTCCAACCACTCCTGAAGATTAACGCAAACCATCTACAAAAAGCAATACAACCCTGCAAACATGGGTCTAGCACCCAGTGTCCCCGCAAATCTGGAAAAAGTACACATTAATTGATGTTTTATTACCATACAGTCTTACTGTGTAAAGAGGAATGGATTTTTTTTTCACATTGGTCAGATGAACTATTTTTATTCCTTTAGATTGTGTGTTAGGTAAAGTCAAGGTTGGTAATATTTTTCTTCTTACATAGATGGGTGCATACAATACTAAATCCTTGAAAGACCATTAGCAGGAAAAGGTAGAGGGTGAATCCTGATCTTAGGAATGTCAGGGTTTGGAGAAATAAATTTGGGATTCACATGGTTCTAACTGGTATTAGAACAACATGCTTTGATATCATCTTCTAGGTAGTAGCTCACCCAGAGACAGACACTATCTAGTTCTGTAAGTCTTCAATATCTGCAGAATCGGGTATGAACATTACTTCACACAGTTGACTATGAAAGCAAGAAAAATTCACAAGGAAACACAGAGTATATTTTCTTTGAACACCAATGTTGAGAAAGATGATGATTAAGGATTGTCCAGTGAAGTAGCAACATGCAGCCTGCTGGTCCTCTTCTCAAGAGTAATGTAACAAATGAAACTAGCCTATCAGAAGCAAGCCAAAGAGAGCAGAGACAAGGAAGGGGAAATGACAGAACAACTCTTTCAGTAAGCTTCACTGTGAAGTGTATTGTGGGGTGGAACAGATACATGGGATGATGAATGAAGAGGCAACATGGGATCTACCGTGGTTCGAATGATTTACATTGAAACTTAATTAAGTACAACCATACTAAGAGGTATGACCTTCAGGAAGTGATTGGGACATGCGGGCTCTAACCTCATGAATGGGATTAGCTTCTCTAATAAAAGGGCTTCACCGAGGGAGCCCACTTCATTCCTTCTATCCTGGAGAAAGAGTATAAGGTTTCTCCTCTCTTAGGGAATTAAGAGGAGGAGGAATTAGCAACGAGGTATCACTCTTGAAATAAACAGCAGACACTCACCAAATGTAGTCTAGCTATTCACACCTGCATCTTGGACTTTCAACCTCTATAACTACAAGAAATAAGTTCCCTTGTTTTTTAAGTTATTTTCCCCCGGTAATGTGGGGAAAACCTTTGATGCAGGGAGAGACATAATTGCAAAGAAAAATTCAACAAGAAATAGGAGGAAAATGTATCCAACATGTAGGGGAGGGATTATCAAGTCAAAGTTGGAGAAGAAATAACTAGATATATCCTTATTAGCAAAGTGTACCTTAACCCATCATGACAAAGAGCTTTCCCTGAAGAGTAATATTTGAAATTATTCTGCTACATTTTATTAAAGTTAATGCATATTTTTTATCACATGAGTTGACACCAGCCAGAGACCCACAATTAGCAACTCTAGTCAAGTTTTCATGATGACAGACACTCTTCTATCCTATAAATTTTCCAAAATTAAGTATACAAATAATTCAGAGTGATACATATGTGTATATATATATTATATATATACACACACATATATATTATAATATATATATACATATGTATAACTGAAACTATTTCAGTTGTTTCATGATTTTAGTGTCACAAACAATTATCACTTAAAAACCAACGAGTGTCTACTTATGCTTTAAAAGAAAAGAAAATTTATACCTAAAAACAGAATTTCAACCTTACAATATTGCAAAAATAAATCCTTTTATTTCATTAATTATTCCACTGTATACAGAGCAAGAAATGACCTGAATGTCATTGATAATCAGTACACCCCTCTGTTTCTGTTAACCCATGCTAAGAAAACATCAATATCTTTTAGAATCATCAAAAATGAGAAAAAGCGAAATCCCATTGTTGTGATTTTTTATGCTTAGAAACAGAAATATCTTCAGCCTTAATAATCTAAATAGAATACAAAAGCAAACTATATATACTGTAATCTTTGGCAACAAGTTTTTAATCATAAGTATCATAGAAAACAGGGAATGATATGTTCCCCCTTTCTTCAGATATAGTACAATATTAAATAATCAAAAAGTTCACAGAAATCTGTTAATCATAAAATAAAATATTTTTGAGTAAAGTCAGCCAGCTTTCTTCTACTTATTACCATGTTTGTCAATTTTTAATTACCCAGATATGACACATTTACTTGCACACATAATCTGAAATTTATACAAACAAAAAGCTACAAAAATAGCTTTCCAGACCAGGGATTTAGCTCAGTGGCTTAAGTGCCTGCCTAGAAAGCATGAGGTCATGAGTTTGATCTCTGGTACCAAAAGCAAACAAACAAACAAAAAAAAACCCTTTCCAATGAAAAGGTCAGGCCTGAAGTGATCACCACCATGCCCATTTTATCTCTTGTTTGGCTTCATTCTTATCAAAAACATTGGAAAATTCAGGAATCTTCAATGGACCTGAGATCACTATCTTTCTTTCTCTTCTTTTGAACAGAATTAAATAGGTGAAAAATCACAGCAAACCATCTTCTTACTCAGAAGATCACTCTAGTAAAATTACTCTTCAATATCTAGTCATTTAGGTAAGAGAAAAATACCCAAATGAATCTTTTAATCATTTTTAAACTCTTCAGTCAAAAAATGATGGCCCAAGAAATCGAAGCTAGAAAACGTAACAGAAACCTAAACTGCATTGGTATAACACATTTTAACAGCAGGGCGCAATACATGGACATTCTCAGATTTTTATAACTGGCATCTTTTTATAGATCAGTCTAACACATTTTAGTTTGGAACAAAGTGTTATCTAAAAATAACAAAGTGGATGACATAATCCAAGTACACAGAAAACAAAGTCCCCATAGAAACAGATTGTAGAAAATGGACACAGGAGTTAAGAAAGGCAGTTGCTGTTTTAATAGACCCTAACTCACTGATGTTTTTGGGATTGTGTTTGATTGATCAGTTGATTTGAAAGGCTTACCATCTTGCTGGCCATGAAGAGTCTGAGGACTTTGCATTCTTTCCTCAAGATTGGAGCTAAGATCAGAGTTCACAGCTGACATTCGTGTTGAATCGCTCATATCAAATTCATCACTTTCTATTGAACTTTCATCCTGAAAATGGTTTTAAAACATCATCAAACATCATAAAGTATAATACATTCAAATAATGACCTCTTTATCTAATGTGATTCATTAGAGATTAGTTAGTAACTGTTAACAGATACTTAAAATAACAAATAAGGGAGTAATTTCCCCCTTCAAAGAACTTCAGAATGTCTAACCATTCAAACAGTGTATCTATGCACATGCATATTTTAAAGATAAAATGATGCATTTGGGAATTAACCTGAAAAATGGAGGAATGATTTTTTTCATTAAATGCCTGTAAAAGTGCAGATCATAAAACATGATAAAAAGGGAAAGCTTTTGTTTAAAAGCTAAATGACTTGATAAAATATTATAAGCACAAATCTTAGAATTCAGTTTAAAAAAACCTTCATAAAATTTTCATTGGCAAACATGATAGATTTTAAATAACGAAAAATACATATCTAGAATCAGAGGTCACATGTAATGCACAGTAAGGTGGCAGTATTAGTGCACCTTATCTTTCCTTAACAGTGAGCATAAATTGTGCTGCCGCTACAAAAAAGGAATCCTAGGTAAAACTGTGCAAATCCATTTCTAAAATGCAATTCACAAAGTGCCTGTAGAACTGAAGGGTCGATATGTTAAGTTGCTATATTCACCCAGACCTGCCAAATAATTTCAGCTAAATCTAGAATAGTGTTACTGAAATGATTTCAAAAGTCAGCTCCTTTGGAAAACTCATTTTTGAGCAAATGTCCCACCAAAATCACCAGGTTTGACAATAATTTGTAAATATTTGAAGGTTTATCACTAATACTGAGCAGTGGCTGACCGAGTGCTGACATTTATGCACAGACATTGTCATTTATATTTATTCACTCGCTTTGTCATCACTGCAACCAATGAAATAGGATTCATCCAATGAAGAAGTTGAGGCACAGAGAAGTTAAATATTTATACCACCATCACGCCACACACTGCTATATACCAGAACTAGGATCACATGGAGTCACCCAGGCTTCTTTGAATAGGAAAAGTTACCTTGGTTTCAAAAATACCGTGTTGATATCATCAAAGAACTTGCTATGGTTAGGACAGAGAAGCATTCTGATAGAGTAACAAATCGGCATACTGATTCCTGGGCCATACCCATGTGAATCGGATGTCCTTCCTTCACCAAAGGTCTGATCGGACCTAAGATTTTACCAGGTAGCACTAGGGCTTAGTTAACTTGGCAAGGAAATGCCACCTAGCAGACCTCTGAGCAATCAGCTATAGAGACTTCTGGCAACACGCCTTCTCTCAGTGTATTATGTACATTATGGGGTTATTTTTCCAATTGTAAATCCTAAGAAAAATCCAAAACAACAGTAATACTGAGGAAAAAATTTTAAAAATCTAGTGTGAGCTTTAATACTACTATTCGATGTACTATGCACACACACATAAGATAGACCCAAGAGAGACGCATGATACCATGATCTAAGATTACAGTGTCTGTGCTGTTATAGCATTTTAGAGGCATTTTAAGGAGCAAGACCTCTTGATACAGATCCATGATCTTCTAATTCTCTATGTTTCACCTTAAGTAAGTTACCTAACCTTTCAGTGCTGTGGTTGATTTTTTTCTACAATGAGGATAATAATAGTACCAATTGCATAGAACTATATGAGGATTGAGAGGGTGCAGTATATTTAGGGTACTATAGAAAAGTGTCAAGTACATAGTAAACACCAAATAGCTGCTTTATATGGCTACGTAGAATATATAATAAATTTTACAATTAAATAAGATGAACATTTAATGAATTAAATGAATGTATACACTATATATCATATTACATAAATGTATACAATATAGGACCAATACGTGTTTCTTCTATAGATGTGTGTTCTACACAAACATATTCTTAGTAAGAATTTCTTTGTATTTCACAAACAGATAATTTTATGTGGTCTAGAAAAATTGTTTCTGTAGTATTCCTATACAATTAAAACATGTACACATATGAAAATATATGTGTGTTTGTGTGCATGTGTAAAACAGAGGTAGATACAAAGATTCAAATCACAGTCCTTGTTCTGTGAAATGGTTGCACAGAGTATTATTAATAAACAATATACATCTTATACCATTTAATGGCATGCTTCTGAGCACAGTTTTCAGGAAATTTGGACAAGAAAGTAAAATGCTATGAAACCAAATGTAATATCGTTTGTTTTCTTTCTTTAAAAAATCAATTTAAAAATATTTTTCATCACAAGTTTCTCAATTATTGGGAACACTTAAATATTTTTTCCATTATCACCATTTCCATTATCAGCTATGAAATATAATTTGTTTTTCAGAGTTTTGCTTATTTAAATATCAAATGTCATACATTAATAAAGAACTTTTACTCAACTAAATATAAACATTCATTCTGTAAGTTCCAATTTTTGATTGATTGATTAAATTATCTTTGATAAAGAGTTACAAAGGTTTATGAAATATAAGACTTTTTATCAGCATACATATAATGCTAATGATACTAGGAAGAAACTACAGGTTTCCACGGGCAAGTAATCAGAAAACTTGATTAATATAAGTAATTATTGTATTCACAATCACTTTTACAGTGTTCATCTAAATTCTTTCTTATAGGAATGGATATTTTGTGTAGTCTGATAACCAGAAGAAAAGTCTCTACATAGCACAATGTGAGCTTATACCTTACACAGCCTAATAGATATGATAATGAAAGACATCTCTAGTCCCTTAATATCTGAGCATTTTATATGTAATAATTTTCTTTCTAGACATTTCCATTAAAATATGTTTACTTTTTTAAAAGCTTCTTTTTTAAAAAAATTTTGGTACCAGGAACCAAACGCATGACTTCACATTCACCAGGCACTGTGCTGCTGAGCTGTATCTCCAGCCCCTTAAACTTTACTCTTAAGCCTTTCTGTACTTCCAAGTTCCAGCTTTTGTCTGTAAAGAGCATCACATTCTGTACTGTCCAAGTTCCAGCTTTTGTCTGTAAAGAGCATCACATTCGTCCTGATTTCCATTGATATTGCCAATTGATTCAAAATCTTATTTCCCATTTCTTGAATTGCATAAAAAAGTGTTTTAATACTCTATTCACTTCTAATTTCTCCCACACTGGTCTTAATTAGAAGCTGTCAGCAAATTAATCTTCCCATTTCTGAATATGCCACTTCTCTGCTCACAAATTTGCAACCATTGTCTACTAAATAATGTGTAAGTGACTCATTAATCATTCAGAATTGACAAAACTGCTCTGTGGTATTCTCTAGCCCATATGGTAGGTCTTGCTCTATCTTGAAATGTGGCCATTATTAGTTAAAACTGATTTTTTTTTGTTTTAGTTAATTTAAATAAATTTCAAATTAAATTAAAAAACCCACAGTTTCTAATGACTGCCATATTGGCTAGGGCAGATTTGACTGTTTATTGTTAGACCTTAAAAATATACCTAAACATTTACTATTAGTAATTCAGTGAGTATGCTACCACATAAAATATTTCCCATATAGCATTTCCTAATATACATTTCTAGGTAAAGCATACAAGTATATTTTCAAATTTTTAATAATTGTTGTCAGACTCTCCCCTAGAAACTCATTCTAATCTGAACTCTCATCAACAGTGTATAAGAAGGTTCACTGACTTTGTATAGGATATAATATTTCATAAAATCTTTCTTAATATGGGATTTTCCAAATAGGATAATTATTTTTTAAAAATTACTTTTGTAAAGATGGGTTGTTGAGAAATTTTTCCATGGTCATTAACCACTGCAGATAGTATTCTCTAAGATGGCTGCCACAAGTTGCTTTCCTAGCTATAAACGCATGTAATTCCTTAGATCAAGAGACAGCATTGGTTTCCCTTCCCTTTGAAAGTGAGCTGAATTCCTTATTTGCTTTGGGCAATAAAATATGGCATAAATGATATAAACAATCCCAGAAATTCTGCTTTTTTTCTCATAGAAGCCAGCTGCCATATAAGAAATAGTCTATCTACCTGAGACCACCACACTATGCGAAAGCTCAAATTATAGCCGGTATTAGAGATGCATGCAAATGAGCATCAAGAAGCCAATTATTTAAGTGAGGTATTCTTGACTTATTCAGCCCAGTCCAGCTGCCAGTAGAGTATAACAGAGTAAGTGGTCCCCACTTAGATAACAAAAGAAAACCCCAAGAAACTTACATCTGAATTCTTAACTTACATAATGATATGAAATAAAAATTCATCGTTGTGTCAAAGCACAAGTATTGGGAGTAACAAATATGTAGTTATTTAGCAATGAAAATTAGCTACATTTTACCTTTTGAGCTATGCAATATTTATATTTATATTATATTTACATTAATCAACAGTTAATAGTAATAATTTTAAAATCTCTGTGTATAGAGGAGATAGATGTGGGCTACAAAGTCAACTAAGCATGTTCAAATATCTGATTGACTCTGCACTAGATTTATAGTTAGGATAAGTTTCATTAGTTCAAATCTTTGGTGTCCCATTTGCTAAGTGGACACAAAATATGTCAGTTGTTATCAAGATTAAATTAGATGATATAGATAAACCTTCTATCACTCCACAATACTTTTTTAATGTATTAACTATATTCATTATGTTTATTATTAATACACTCATTTAAAAATATTTAACAAAAATTATTCTAAGAACACCGTCCTTTGCTTCGTGTAGTCATCTGCGTGTCTTTGTGGCAGCCCTCTTCCCTCAGTTTTATTCAAGCTCCCTCCACTCACTTCAGTCCTTCCCATGCTGAAATCCATGGGAAATTCAGTATCTCTGTGAATGTCCTTACATGTCACCTCCATGAGGATCCGCAATGATCTTGTCCTCTAGGTTCTTCAGCCAGATGCTGCCATAACCTTATCCTGGGCATGCCATTGCCAGAAATGAAGATTTCTATAATCCTCAGTTCAAGCATCATAATTTCTATACAGTGCTTCAGATTTTCCATATAATTCCCACTAAT